AAGTCAGAAAATTTACTTAATACTGTAATACAAAGATTTCATAAAGTAAAATAGCTTCTGATTCCAGTAAATTTTAGTTCAAATATAGCTTATATACTATTTTCTGAAGACGGGATATGCATTACTCCTTGCAAATGTTAATTTGCAAGGAGTAATGCACTTGATCAGCATCTCTTTTTTCAGAGTTCTCATAGATGAATATATATATAGCATACATCACCATAGGTTACCTAAACACATCCCTCCTCGCTAATCAAAGGACTGGATCAACCAACAAGACATCAGCTATGACAAATTTACCTTAACCAAAACAATGCATCTCTAGTGATCTGAATAAGAAAAAGAAGGACTTGCATCTCTGAGGACTCTTAGTATAATGTCAGGAGGGACTGCAGTGAAGCACCAAGATCACTATGCCTGGAGACGAGGACGCTACAATGAGAATGGAGGATGAGACACTTGCGCAACATTTGAGAATCTTTATTGCGGAAACTTTCTCGCCATCCAATGGTTTCTTCAGTCCTATAGGCATGACTCGCTTACACTAGTGGATTCATCTACTGGTGACTCCGCCTTCTGCTACTTCAACTCATTTGACTGCAGTATATTAGCCACTTCTCCGAGCACATGCTGTACATTTCTCAAGAGTAATGGACTGAACATATCGACTTTAGGCTGAGAGGCTAATCACCTGAAACTCCTTCTCTTCTTCCATCGTTTTACTCTGTATTGGATTGAAGAAGCCACTGGTTGGAGATACGTTTCCACAATAATGATTCTCAAATGTTGCACAAGTGTCTCATTCTTCAACTTATCGGTTTTCTAAACTATTTACAACATACACTGAGAATAACGAATCTGGAGAAGCCGATCAGGTCTTCTGTTTACAGCATTTGAAATTTGTATAAATTTGAGGTTTGGCACCAAAGGAAAGGAAATGAGAGGATGACGTTAAATCTCACACAGCCATTATCAGATTATTAAAGCCACTTATCTTGAGGCCAGAAGTGGTAGAACCACCTATCATCTCGTGAAAAGAAAACGTGAGACAATGAAGTTACTTGTGCTCTCTCATTTTTCAGAATATTGTTCGGTGATGCCAGCTCCGTTCAAGACAAAAAAGATATCAGAGTTGAAATAGATGCGTTACAATATATACATGGGAAACACTTGAAGGTCTAGTTCAGAAACTACAAACTACCATGACATACTGGAGTGAAATATGTGGGAAGAAATGTAAAATAGGAGTAGTGAAAAGCAACGGCGCTGTGTACATTAAAGAGAACATTGTGTTAAAACTATTCTACCTTCTACCAGCAGATATCAGAAATACTACCGGAACAAATATAGAAGTTTTCAAGAGAAAATCAAGATTACTACCGTCCCCTAAGGTTAGATCAGCTCTAATAGAAATAAAATAATTTAAAAATGTCGTCACAGTCAAGAAAATGATGGGGTGGATAACGGCAGCTTTCCAAATTAGGAAAATAGTGCCAGTGGTGACGTTATTCAGATTGCTTGTGCTCTCTCGATTGGAATATTGTTCAGTGTTGACAGTTCTCTTCAGGGCGGGAAAGATATCAGAGCTGGAACAGGTGACGAGATCATTTACATCAGGCATAGAGACAATAAAGCATATAAAATTATTGGGAATACCTCAGAGTCCTAAATATATACTCGCTGAAGTGGAGGAGAGTGAGATACATGATAATATATGCGTATGTGGAAAGTATTTGAGGGGCTAGTCCCAAATATGCACAATGCCAAAACAACATACCGTATGAGAGATATGGGATAAAATGTACAATGAGACACAGTAAGAGAATTTTGTATCAACATCCGTGACCTCCAGACTATTCAACTTCTTACCAATAGCACTACAGGGACAAGTGTCGATGTCTACAAGAGGAAATTGGCCAAGTACCTCCACCAAGGGCGGAATCAACCAGACTGTGATGAATGTGGGCTAACAGGCCGCCAGCAGCAACTGCCTGGTCGACCAGGCAAGCATAAGACAAACTTGGCCGAGGGCCGGGCTCCGTGAGTAGGAAAACTCTCGAGGCTCAAGGGTAAAGGTAGATTTCGAATAGCAGTCAGCATTTGTCTTCTCTTGTCACATTCTGCAGCTCTGCTAACGTGATGTAAGAAGCTACACTACAGAAGCGTCACACTCTCAATCACACCATCTGGTGGACCAAGTCACCTATGCCATAAAAGCCGTGTTATTTTAGCCACACCATAGAAACCATATTACAGTAGCCACACTTCAAAAACCCTACGACAGTAACCATACCACAATAACCACACCACGGTAACCACACCACTTCAACCACACCACAGTAACCACACGACAGTAACGACACCACAATAACCACACCACAGTAACCGCATCACAATAACCACACCACAGTAACCACACCACTTCAATCACACCACAGTAACCACATCGCACCAATTCAACCACACTACAGTAATCACACCACTTCAATCACACAACAGTAACCACACCACACCACTTCAACCACACCACAGTAACCACACCACAGTAACCACACCACAGCAACCACACCTCACCAACCACACTACAATAACCACACCACAGTAACCACATCACTTCAATCACACCACAGTAACCATACCACACCACTTCAACCACACCACAGTAACCACACCACAGTAACCACACCACAATAACCACACCACAAGAACCACACCACAGTAAACCACACCACTTCAATCACACCACAGCAACCACACCTCACCAACCACACTACAACAACCACACCACAGTAACCACACCACTTCAATCACACCACAGTAACCACACCACACCACTTCAACCACACCACAGTAACCACACCACACACACAATAACCTCACCACATTAACTACACCACAGGGAGAGAGAGAGAGAGAGAGAGAGAGAGAGAGGAGAGAGAGAGAGAGAGAGAGGTGGGTGGATTGCATTTTCTTGGACTGCAAGAAGGCATTTGACACAGTTCCACACAAGAGATTAGTGCAAAATCTGGAGGACCAAGCAGGGATAACAGGGAAGGCACTACAATGGATCAGGGAATACTTGTCAGGAAGACAGCAGCGAGTTAGTGGTACGTGGCAAGGTGTCAAGAGTGGGCACCTGTGACCAGCGGGGTCCCACAGGAGTCAGTCCTAGGACCAGTGCTGTTTCTGGTATTTGTGAACGACATGACGGAAGGAATAGACTCCAAAGTGTCCCTGTTTGCAGATGACGTGAAGTTGATGAGAAGAATTCTTTCGATCGAAGACCAGGCAGAACTACAAAGGGATCTGGGCAGGCTGCAGACCTGGTCCAGCAATTGGCTCCTGGAGTTCAACCCCACCAAGTGCAAAGTCATGAAGATTGGGGATGGGCAAAGAAGACCACAGATGGAGTACAGTCTAGGGGGCCAGAGACTACAAACCTCACTCAAGGAAAAAGATCTTGGGGTGAGTATAACACCAGGCACATTTCCTGAAGCGCACATCAACCAAGTAACTGCTGCAGCATATGGGCGCCTAGCAAACCTCAGAACAGCATTCCGATATCTTAATAAGGAATCGTTCAGGACCCTGTACACCGTGTACGTTAGGCCCATATTGGGGTATGCGACACCAGTTTGGAACCCACACCTAGCCAAGCACGTAAAGAAACTAGAGAAAGTGCAAAGGTTTGCAACAAGACTAGTTCCAGAGCTAAGAGGTATGTCCTATGAGGAGAGGTTAAGGGAAATCAACCTGACGACATTGGAGGACAGGAGAGATAGGGGGGACATGATAACGACATCCAAAATACTGAGAGGAATTGACAAGGTGAACAAAGACAGGATGTTCCAGAGATGGGACACAGTAACAAGGGGACACAGTTGGAAGTTGAAGACACAGATGAATCACAGGGATGTTAGGAAGTATTTCTTCAGCCACAGAGTAGTCAGGAAGTGGAATAGTTTGGGAAGCGATGTAGTGGAGGCAGGATCCATACATAGCTTTAAGCAGAGGTATGATAAAGCTCACGGTTCAGAAGAAGTGACCTAGTAGCGACCAGTGAAGAGGCGGGGCCAGGAGCTTGGACTCGACCCCTGCAACCTCAGCTAGGCGAGTACACACAAACACACACGGGGCCAGGAGCTAAGACTCGACCCCTGCAACCACAAATAGGTGAGTACACACAACACACACACACACACACACACACACACACACACACACCCCACACACACACACACACACATATACAAGCACGCATATACACAGGCCCAGGGTTTTGAATCGACATGTGCCTAGGACAAAAAGGTAAACTAACATAAGCACACCACTTCAACCACACCACAGCAACCACACCACTTTAACCACACCACTTCACCAAACCTCAATAACCACCCCATATTAAACCCCACCACAATAACCCACCACAGTAACCACACCACAATAAAACCACCCCCACAGTAACCACACCACTTCAACCACACCACAGTAACCACACCACACCACTTCAACCACACCACACCACTTCAAAACCCCACCACAGTAACCACACCAAAACCCCTTCAACCACCCCCACAGTAACCCACCACAGTAACCACACCACTTCAACCACACCAGAGTAACAGCACCACAGTAACCACGCCACTTAACCACACCACAATAACCACACCACGTAACCACACCATAGTAACCACAAACCCCAGTAAAACCCCACCACAGTAACCACACACAGTAACGACACCACAATAACTACACCACAGTAAGCACACCACAATAACCACACCATTTCAAACCCCACCAATAACCACACCACAGTAACCACACCACAATAAACCCCACCACAGTAACCACACCACAATAACCACACCACAGTAAGCACACCACAATAACCACACCATTTCAACCACACCACAATAACCACACAACAGTAACCACACCACAATAACCACACCATTTCAACCACACCACAATAAACACAACCATTTCAACCCCACCCCCAATAACCACACCACAGTAACCACACCACAGTAACCACACCACAGTAATCACCCACAGTAACCACACCACAGTAACCACACCACAATAACCACACCACAGTAACCACACCACAATAACCACACCACAGTAACCACACCACAATAACCACACCACAATAACCACACCACAGTAAACCACACCACAGTAACCACACCACAATAACCACACCATTTCAATCATACCACAATAACCACATCACAGTAGCAACACCACAGTAACCACACCATTCAACCCACCACAGTAACCACACCACTTAACCATACCACAATAACCACACCACAGTAACCACACCATAGTAACCACACCACAGTAACCACACCACAGTAACCACACCACAATAACCACACCATTTCAACCACACCACAATAACCACACCATTTCAATCATACCAAAATAATCATACCACTTCAACCACATCCCAATTTGTAATTTAACATAGTTCACAGTTTCATAAAAGCATTAAATTTTACTCTCTCTAAACACTTTCTATGGCCCGAGCTGTTAAGTAATTGCTACACATTGACACTCACTAGTGTATTGTGAATGTTCTACATTCATGCACCCAATCTCGGCTGTAGGGCCGCCCTCACAAGGGACGAAGGTCTTAGAAGTGTGAGAGGTGTGTTGAGGTACCTGGGAAGTGTTTTCTGAGTGTGTGAGGAACTCAGGGGTGTGCAGGTACCTGGGAAGTGTTTTCTGAGTATGTGAGGCACTCAGGGGTGTGCAGGTACCTGGGAGATGTTTTCTGAGTGTGTGAGGCACTCAGGGGTGTGCAGGTACCTGGGAAGTGTTTTCTGAGTATGTGAGGCACTCAGGGGTGTGCAGGTACCTGGGAGATGTTTTCTGAGTGTGTGAGGCACTCAGGGGTGTGCAGGTACCTGGGAAGTGTTTTCTGAGTATGTGAGGCACTCAGGGGTGTTCAGGTACCTGGGAAGTGTTTTCAGAGTTTGTGAGGCACTCAGGGGTGTGCAGGTACCTGGGAAGTGTTTTCTGAGTGTGTGAGGCACTCAGGGGTGTGCAGGTACCTGGGATATGTTTTCTGGGTGTGTGAGCAAGGCAGTTAGGGATGTGTAATATCTGGTAGCGTATGAGGCCTCGCAGAATACATGCGCACCTACTACATCTACACCTACCCACTATACCCACCTGCAGCCACCTGCTACACCTGCACCCACCCACTGCACCCATCTACAGCCACCCGCTACACCTACACCCACCCACTACACCCAGAAGGTCATTTTCATGGCTCCTGCAGAGTCAGTGATGATGGGGGTGTCCATGACGCTGCTTTGCCGCATCAAGGACCGGGTTCTGGAGCCCAACCTCCGCAGGGGGGTGGCCTCGCTGACTCCGTCCCCTCCACAACCACCACCAATGGTCCGCCCACCGCCCAGCACACCTCCAGAGGATCGCCCACCCCCCAGGCTCTCCACACTGATTATCTCCTCCACCTCTCTGTCGTCTTCGAAGTCATTGGTCAGGTCGTAATTCTTCTTCCTGTTGGATGAGGAAGATGGTAGTGAGAGTGGTGATAAATGAGAGAGAAAGGGAAAGAGGAGAGAGAGAGAGAGAGAGAGAGGAGAGAGAGAGAGAGAGAGAGAGAAGAGAAGAGAGAGAGAAGAGAGAGAGAGAGAGAGAGGGAGGAGAGAGAGAGAGAGGAGAGGAGAGAGAGAGAGAGAGAGAGAGAGAGAGAGAGAGAGAGAGAGAGAGAGAGAGAGAGAGAGAGAGAGAGAGAGAGAGAGAGAGAGAGAGAGACAGAGAGACAGACAGACAGACAGACAGACAGACAGACAGACAGAGAGAGGAGGGTGGAGGGGAGACTTCAACATGGCCGGCATGTAATTGACAACTCGCAAAACTAATCAACTCATCGTAAAATTTAGATCAGCGATCAACATGCGTTGTTGAGCTCATATTGCCTACTCTCTCTCTCTCTCTCTCTCTCTCTTTCTCGCGCGCGCGCGCGGGGCACATGCACACATAACACAGGAACTAAAAAAAATAAATAAAAAAGAAGCCTCGTCTTACTTCTGAGGGACACAAGCCCAACAGTCCCTCCAAGTGAAGTCCTGACCGAAGCTCTCGCCCTCTGCCATGCTGTTAGGCAGCTTCTGCTGCAGCGTCTCCGGCAGGCGGAAGGTCAGCATCCCTCCGATGGTAGACACCAGTCCCATGATCACCAACGGCATCACCAGCATCTCCGTTCCCTGGAGGAGGGGAAAGGAAGAGCAGGGTTAGGTGACACGAGGTAGCGGTGGAAGGCAGGGTGGAGGTAGAGGTAGCAGGGAGCAGGGAGCATGGAGGTTGTGGTGGAGGGGAGAGTGGAGGAAGCGATAATAAGGGTAGCTGTAGGTAATTAATGAAGGGGGGAGAGGTTTTAAAAATCAATAAAAGTGTATACATCAATAGTTACGTAGTCACATAGTGGGAACGTAAGTTAGCTGTTTCCCAGTCATATTACAACACACAGAAGAGGGTTTTATATATCAAATGATATAATCTCTCAGCTTAAGCTGGGATACCTCAGCAGGGCGATGAGGATATCGTCATGTATATTGTATACCAATAAGGGTTCAGCAGCTACCCGTAGCTTCAAAGCGTTCCTTCCAGCAGAGCTGGAGTTATTATTACTTGGGAATTATCATCTTTCAGGATAACCTGCCTCACATACAGGAGAAATGATTCTTAGAAAGATATCTTCGTCACAGAGAGAGCCTTAAAAAACGGCAAAATTAACTAACACTATAAAGTACTTTTTTATACCGATAAATATATACACATAGATGCAGAAGAATAACTTCATTGTTGAAATAATCTCGCCATAACCAGACATGAAAACATAAATTAGACACTCGTGCAACACCTGGGTAACTGAAAAAAAGTATGGAGATCCCGCAGATGTAAAAAAAGACATTTATGTACATTTCAGAACATTTATAAGGAAGCGTTTTCGACTGACAAAACCCACTATGGAGAAACGTTTCTTTAATAAAGCCCTGAACTTACATAAGTTCTTTTTCCCCACACTGGGTAATTTTTATAGAATAACGCAAACTTCTAATTTTAATCCCGAAGGCTATTCAACTCACAAAAGTTAATGAAAGGTATGATCCTAGGCCAGACCCCCGACGACCCGAAAGCCGATGCCGACCCCCGCACCTCCGTTGGTAGAGTTGGGCAGCGAAAGGGTAGATAATGGGGAAAGGGGTGATGGGTGAATTTTGCTACCAAGTGGGTATCAGAGGGGCCCGGCGAATCTCCTGTAAAAAGGTCAAAGGCTAATTATATAAATATATATATATAAAAATTTTTTTTTTGCCAGGGGGAAGGAAAAGAATCTTTTCTCCCGAAAGCCTGGGTCGTATGAGGACTAAAACCCGGGAGAAATGGCTAGAAACCCCTTCTCCGTAGATTTTTACAAAAAAAAGGAAGAAAAAAAACTTTATAAAACGGGGGTTTAAAATTTCGTGGATGTAGTGGGGATAAAAAGAAAAAAATGATTGCGTTTGTTATAATAAAAAGAATTTGGTTTCCCGGGGCCCCTAAGCGAAACAAACTAAGGGGTAGGGGGTTCGGGGGGGGGAAATAAAGGGGGTTAAAAATCGGGAGTATCTGAAGAGTTGAGCAAAGGAAGGGTAGCGTAATTTTGAATGATCATTAGGGAAAGGGAAAAAAAAAAAAGGAAAATATGAATGTGTAAATTCAAGAATTTGTGGAAAAAAAGTAAAGGTTGGATGGAGAATGGGTCAAATAAGCGTGTATCCCTGGAGAAAAAGGGGGAATGCGGGGAGAGAGAGATTTTTTGGGGAGATGTTAAGTGAAGTAGGGGAGCCTTTGAACCCAAGTGAGAGAGTAATTGTGGAGGGGACCTGAATGTAAAGTAGGAAAACTTTTTGAGAGGGTGTGGTAGGTAAGTTTGGGGGCCAGGTGAAATGATAAGGGGGCCCTTTGATTGAACTTTTTATAGAAAAGGGGTTTGGTTATAGGGAAAAAATTTTTTTAAAAAAAAGGATAAATAAGTATACAAGATATGATTAGGGGAAAAAAGACGTGTTTTGTTGGATTTTGTATTGGGAGATAAAAGACTTTGAGTAGACTTCAGGATGACATGTTTTTAGAGGGGCCCAGATATTCAGATACTTTCTAGTTGTATCTACACTGAGAGTAAAAGGGGATGGGAACAAGGGGAAAAAGAAGCATCAGGGGAAAAGAGAGGGGAAGGTTTATAAACAAAAGGGAGGGAGTTAGGGTAAGATAAACAGCATTGGAGGATAGAGGGCAATGAGGCTAGGCAAAGGGGTCGAAGAGGCATGGGGTAGGTTTAAAAATGTAGTGTTAGAGTTTCAGCAAAGTTTGGTTCAGGAAAGTGGGGGCGGGAGGGGGAGGAGGTTGGGGGAAGAGATGGAAAAGAGTAGAAGAGGAAAAAATTAGCATATGAGAAGTTTTTACAAAGTAATGTGAGCAAGGAGGGAAGAGTATATGGGGAAAAAGAGAGAGTTTAAAAGAGGGTGAAACAAAGTAAAAAGGAGAAAAGAGAAGTGGGTGAATGTTTTCAACAAATTTTGTTGAAATAAGAAAAAAATTTTGGAGTGAGTTAAAATTTAAAAAAGCCCAGAGAACAAATGGATTTGTCATTAAAAATAGGAGAGGGGAAATTATTAAATGGAGAGTTTGAGGTTTGGGAAGATGGGGGAATATTTTTAGGGAAATTTTTAAATTTGAAAGATAGGGAAGCTGTGATTTCGAGATAGGGGAAGGGGGAAAAACATCTTGTAGGAGTGGGGAAAAGCCCGTTGTGAGTGTGGGGGAAATTCGGAGGGCAGTAGGTAAAAAAAAAAAAAGGGGGTAAGGCAGCCAGAATTGAGGATAAAGATAGAAAATTTTAAAAACGGGGGGATATAGTTTTGGAGTGTTGGGGCAATTATTTAATAAAGTATGAAGAGGGGAAAGGGACCTGGGATTGGCAAGAGCATGCAAGTTCCTTTTTTAAAAGGGAAAGGGATAAAGGGGATGCAAAAATTATAGGGGGATAAGTCTGTTGAGTAAACCTGGCAAAGTGATGGTAGAGTTATATTGAAAATTAAAAAAATAAGACGGGGAAAAGGAAAAGATAACAAGGAGGGCTTTAGGAAAGGTAGGGGGGTGTGGGCCCGGGGTTTATAGTGAAAAAATAATGAACGTATTTAGACAAGGCTAAAGAGGGCTTGTGGGATTTATGGATTTGGAAAAGGGGTAAGACAGGGTGGATAGGGGGGCAAAGTGGCAGATGTTGCAGGGTAGGTGTAGGAGTTAGGTACGAAAGCATGAAGATTTTTACGGGTAAGAGGCTCAAGTTAGAGTATGTAGGAAAGAGGGAAATTATTTCCCAGTAAAAGTAGGTCTTAGACAAGGTTTGGGATGTCCCCGTGATTTTTTAAAATTTTTTATAGATGGATTTTGTAAGAAAGAAAAAGCGAGGGTTTGGCAAGGGGGGGGTGGATTTAAAAAGATAAAAAATCACACATAAAGGGATTTGCCCACTTTTGCTCTTTGCTGATGACCTGTGCTCTGGGAGATTCTAAAAGAAAATTGCAGAGATTGGGGGGTAAATTTGGTGGGGTGTGAAAAAGAAGAAAATTAAATGAATACGGGAAAGAAAAGGTTATGAGGATAACAAAAGATTAGGTGATGAAAGATTGGATATCGTTTGGAGGGAAGAGTAGGAGGAGGTGAATGTTTCAGATATTTGGAGGGAGTGTCAGCGGATGGTCTATGAAAGAGGAGGTGAATCTAGAACTGATGGGGGGAAAAAGGGTAGTGGGCCTTAGGATCTGTGGAGACAAAGACTTGTCCTTGGAGGCAAAGGGGGGAAATGAATAGAGTATAGTTTTCCCAACGCTCTTAATGGGTGTAAAGCATGGGTGATGAATGTTGCAGCGAGGAAAAGCTGGAGGCAGGGGAGATGTCATTCTGAGAGAAATTTGTGGGTGAAAAATGCAGGAATTCGTAGTTTGGAAGTTAGAGGAGGTGCGGGTTCCCCAAAACTGTTTTTTCCCCCGAGGGCTAGGAAGGGTTGTTGAGGTTTTCGGACTGTGGAGAGAATGGGGGGCGAAAAGAATAACTTTTCAAGAGTGTATCTCTGAGGGGAAAGAAGGCTGGGTAGGGTGGGCCTGGGAAAGGTTTGGAGGGGGGGTAAAGGGGGTTTTGTGTGCGGGGGGGCTTGGATTTTTCCAGAGGCAAAAGCGTGAGCGTGTTTGATAGGAGTAAAGGGACAAATGGTTTTTAATACTTACGGCTTTTGGAGGTGACCCAAAGTAACATTTATAAAGGGGGGTTCGGGGAACCGGCGGGCCCGGGGGGGACTTGAGTCCTGGAATGGGAATACAGTGCCTACTTGAAGGGGGGGTTTGTTAATGTTGATTTTAAAAAAAACGTATGTAAAGCACCCTTCTGGCAAGACATGATGGGTGAAGGGGGTGAAAGTTTTTCTTTTTCGGGCCACCCTCCCTTGGGGGGAAATCGGTAGTTTTAAAATAATAATATATATATATTATATTATATTAAAAATTATATATATATATATAATTTTAAATATATATATTAAAAATTAATTATATAAAATATTAAAATTATATAAAATATAAATATGCAATAAGATCACAGAAAACAGGTGATTTCAGAAATCAAAAAAACCCTCTGAAAAAATAGAAAAATTTCCCAAGCGCTTTCGTGACTACTCACATTATAAGGAACAGAAAGTTAAGCATCCAAGGATGCTTAAAAGGGGGGTCTGGCCAACACCTACTATCAATCCCAAACGGTTAAACCCTGACGCGCGCCGCCCCAATTTGGGAGGGGCCTTTGCAAAATTCACCCCACAAACTATTCTACCCAAAAAAAATTTAAAAATTTTTATTTGTCCAGGTATTATTAAATTCTTCCCAAATTCTTTTAATTTATAAATGGATCAATTTAAAAAAACCAAAAGGGAAATATTCATATTTTTGTAAAAAACTGTTTTTTAAAAAACAAGATTCAATTATTTTTCCTGTCGACCAGGGACTTGCTTGAACTATTTCTCCCCTTTTTTAAAAAATAAAATTTGGATGGTTAAAATCTCTTACTGAATAAAAGACTTTGGAATTTGTCCATTTAATGCTATATTTATGTTGTTTTAATCTTATTCGAGATTTTTCCCAGTTTGACCGAAATAAATTTTTATCGCAAATTTTACAAGGAATTTTTATAGACACATCCATCAGCTTTTGGGGGGGGTGAATTCTTTATCAAAATTTTTTTTATTTCAAGATTTTTGAATACAATTTAATTTTAAAAATTTTAAAGAAGAAAAGGCATATCAACCAAGTTTCCAGGGGTAAGGAAAACCCAAAACATTTTTTATTGAAAAAGGCGGGTTTGTCCCTTTTTGGGATTGAAAAAGTTTTTAGCAAT